TCTGTCCCTGTCCCGGTGTCTGTCCCGGTCCCGCTGTCGGTCCCGGTTGTTCCTGGTGTCAGCTCCAGGAGTGGCTCGGGGGGCTCGAAGCAGCACCGGGGGGTCCCGGTGTCGGTCCCGGTGTCGGTGCCGGTTGTTCCTGGTGGCTCGGGGGGCTCAAAGCAGAACCAAGGGGTGGTGCCGGTGCCGCTGTCTGTCCCGGTTGTTCCCGGTGGTGGCTCCAGGAGTGGCTCGGGGGGCTCAAAGCTGAACCGGGGGGCGGCGCTGCTGTCTGTCCCGCTGTCTGTCCTGGTGTCGGTGCCGGTCTCTGTCCCAGTCCCGGTCCCGCTGTCTGTCCCGGTGTCTGCCCCGGTCCTGCTGTCTGTCCCTGTCCCGGTCCCTGTCCCGGTCCCGGTGTCTGCCCCTGTCCCGGTGCCTGTCCCGCTGTCTGTCCCAGTCCCGGTCCCGGTGCCTGTCCCGGTGTCAGTCCCGGTGCCGGTCCCTGTCCCAGTCCCTGTCCCGCTGTCTGTCCCGGTGCCGGTGCCGGTCTCTGTCTCGGTGCCGGTGCCGGTCCCGGTGTCCGTCCCGGTGCCGGTGCCGGTGCCGGCGCGGCCGCGGAACCAGTCGCGGTTGCGGCGCAGCGCCCGCAGCATCTCCCGCGCGTCCGGGTGCACGAGCTCGGCCCAGGCCTCCCACAGCGGCTGCACCACGAAATCGATGAAGCCAACCTGGCACGGGGACGGCGACACTGAGGGACAGCGGGGACAGGGACAGGGGGGACAGGGACAGGGACAGGGGGGGACAGGGAGGGGACACTGAAGGGACACCAGGGAAAGCAAGGGGACAGTGGGGAGACACTGAGGGGACAGGGACAAGGGACAGGGACAGCATTGGGGACACTGAGGGGACACTGAGGGGACAGCAGGTACAGTGGGGACATCAGGGACAGTGAGGGGACAGGGACAGCACTGGGGACATTGAGGGGACAGGGGGACACTGGGAACATCAGGGGACAGGGATAAGGGGTATCAGGGACAGGGACAGTGAGGGGGGACACTGGGGACAGGGGACAACAGGCACAGCATTGGGGACAGAAGGGACAGTGAGGGAACAGCAGTGGGGACACCAGAGGGACAGCTGGGACAGCGCTGGGGACAGGAGGGACAGCAGCAGGGACACGGGACAGCAGGGACACTGGGGACAGGGGGACACTGGGGACAGGGGGACACTGGGGACAGGAGGGACAGCAGCAGGGACACTGGGGACAGGGGGACACTGGGGACAACAGAGCCAGGGAGACAGGAGGGACACTGGGGACAACGCAGGGATCTGCACCTGTGGGTTCCTGCTGGTGGCACTGGCACACCTGGGGCTGGTCTGTGTCCCCATGCCCCCGGTGTCCCCGTGTCCCTGGCTGTCCCCACGTGTCCCTGGCTATCCCTGGCTGTCCCCACGTGTCCCTGGCTGTCCCCAGGTATCTGTGGCTGTCCCCATGTCCCCTTCACCTGTGAGCTCTCCACGGAGGCGCTGTGCCGGTCGCACATGGGGCTGATCTCCATGCCCCGCTCGCGCTCCCGGTCCCCCTGCCTGAAGAACTCCTCCATGATCCGCTCCGTCCACTGCCGGTACAGCCCCAGCGGCTTCGTGGGGTTGCTCAGGTCGGCGCAGTGCACCATGGTCCGCAGCACCTGGGACAGGGCACAGGGGACAGGGGACACCTGGGGCAGCTGGGGACAGCTGGGGACAGCTGGGGACAGCTGGGACAGCTGGGACGGCTGGGACAGGGGGACAGCTGGGGACACCGGGGACAGCTGGGACAGCTGGGACAGCTGGGGACACCTGGGACAGCTGGGGACAGGGGACAGGGGACAGGGGACAGCTGGGACAGCTGGGACAGCTGGGACAGCTGGGACAGCCAGGGACACCTGGGGACAGCCAGGGACACCTGGGGACAGCTGGGGGACACCTGGGACAGCTGGGGGACACCTGGGACAGCTGGGGGACACCTGGGACAGCTGGGGGACACCTGGGACAGCTGGGGGACACCTGGGACAGCTGGGACAGCCAGGGACACCTGGGGACAGCCAGGGACACCTGGGGACAGCTGGGGGTGGCAGGGGACAGCTGGGACACCTGGGGACAGCCAGGGACACCTGGGGACAGCCAGGGACACCTGGGGACAGCCAGGGACACCTGGGGACAGCCAGGGACACCTGGGGACAGCTGGGGGACGACACCTGGGGACACCTGGGGACAGCTGGGGGTGGCAGGGGACAGCTGGGACACCTGGGGACAGCTGGGGGTGGCAGGGGACAGCTGGGACACCTGGGGAGAGCCAGGGACACCTGGGACACCTGGGGACAGGGGACAGGGGACACCTGGGACAGCTGGGGACAGCTGGGACAGCTGGGGACAGCCAGGGACACCTGGGGATGGCAAGGACACCTGGGGACAGGGCTGTCACCTGGGGCTGACCCCCCAGGACCCCCCCCAAAGATCCCCCAGCATCCACAAGACCTCCCCAAAGACCCCTGAACCCACCCAGGACCCCTGAAACTCCCCCAAGACCCCTTGGGGACCCCTGAACCCACCCAGGACCCCTGAAACTCCCCCAAGACCCCTTGGGGACCCCTGAACTTCTCCCTGGGCCCCCCCCCAGGCTGTTTCTGGCCCCCCTCAAGCCATTTTTGGGGCCCCCCAGGCCATTCCTGGCCCCCCAGGCCATTTTTGGGCCCCCCAGGCTGTTTTTGGGCCCCCCCAGGCCGTTTTTAGGCCCCCCGGGCCGTTGGGGTGCCCACCTGCATGCGGTCGGTGTAGTTGTCCAGCAGCAGCACCCCCGAGCTCGTCACCTTCTTGGTCTCCACCATGGTCTTGAGGTCAGCCAGGAGGCTCATGTGCTTGGACATGTCCGTGGCCAGCACCTGGGGACACACAGGTGGCACCTGGGGCACAGATGGCACCTGGGGCACAGAGGTGGCACCTGGGGCACAGAGGTGGCACCTGGGGACACACAGGTGGCACCTGGGGACAGCCCTGCCTGCCGGGCTCGGCTCTCCCGGGAGTGGCATTGATCCGGGATTGATCGGGGATTGATCTGGGATTGATCTGGGATCGATCTGGGATTGATCTGGGATTGATCACCCAGTTCCTGGAGTTGGTTTGGTTGATGACCAAGGACAGCCTTGGCTGGTTTTTGTCAGGATTTTGGGATATTTTATCAGGATTTTGGGCTGTTTTAGCAGTGTTTCAGCCCTCACCATGTTGATGACCATCTGGTGCAGCACCTGGGGTATTTTTTTATCAGGATTTTGGGATATTTGAACAGGATTTTGGGGTATTTCAGCAGGATTTTGGGGTGTTTTGGGGGCTCACCATGTCGATGACCATCTGACCTGGGGACACACAGGTGGCACCTGGGGCACAGATGGCACCTGGGGCACAGAGGTGGCACCTGGGGCACAGAGGTGGCACCTGGGGACACACAGGTGGCACCTGGGGACAGCCCTGCCTGCCGGGCTCGGCTCTCCCGGGAGTGGCATTGATCCGGGATTGATCGGGGATTGATCTGGGATTGATCTGGGATCGATCTGGGATTGATCTGGGATTGATCACCCAGTTCCTGGAGTTGGTTTGGTTGATGACCAAGGACAGCCTTGGCTGGTTTTTGTCAGGATTTTGGGATATTTTATCAGGATTTTGGGCTGTTTTAGCAGTGTTTCAGCCCTCACCATGTTGATGACCATCTGGTGCAGCACCTGGGGTATTTTTTTATCAGGATTTTGGGATATTTGAACAGGATTTTGGGGTATTTCAGCAGGATTTTGGGGTGTTTTGGGGGCTCACCATGTCGATGACCATCTGACGCAGCACCTCAGGGTGCTCAGGGGGTTCTGGGCTGTTTTTTGTCAGGATTTTGGGGTGTTTTATCAGGATTTTGGGCTGTTCCAGCCCTCACCATGTCGATGACCACCTGGCGCAGCACCTGGGGTATTTTTTACCAGGATTTTGGGGTACTTTAGCAGGATTTTGGGCTGTTCCAGCCCTCACCATGTCGATGACCATCTGGCGCAGCGCCTGGGCTGGTTTTTGCCAGGATTTTGGGATAATGTCGATGACCATCTGGCTACTTTAGCAGGATTTTGGGCTGTTCCAGCCCTCACCATGTCGATGACCATCTGGCGCAGCGCCTGGGCTGGTTTTTGCCAGGATTTTGGGATATTTTACCAGGATTTTGGGCTGTTTTAGCAGTGTTTCAGCCCTCACCATGTTGATGACCATCTGGTGCAGCACCTGGGGTATTTTTTTATCAGGATTTTGGGATATTTGAACAGGATTTTGGGGTATTTCAGCAGGATTTTGGGGTGTTTTGGGGGCTCACCATGTCGATGACCACCTGGCGCAGCACCTGGGCTGTTTTTTGTCAGGATTCTGGGATATTTTACCAGGATTTTGGGGTACTTTAGCAGGATTTTGGGCTGTTTGGGGGCTCACCATGTCGATGACCATCTGGCGCAGCGCCTGGGCTGTTTTTTGTCAGGATTTTGGGATATTTATCAGGATTTTGGGCTGTTTGGGGGCTCACCATGTCGATGACCATCTGGCGCAGCGCCTGCCGCTCCCGCCGCGACAGGCTCTGGAAGATGTCGCAGTTCTCCTCCTGCAGCAGCCTGAAGCCCACGGCCAGGTGATGATTCTCCAGCACCGACTCGTCGTTGTAGAGCAGCGCCAGCTCCGAGTCTGGGGGCGGCCACGGAGCCCCGGGACCCCCGCTCAGAGGGAGGGACCCCCGGGGCACAGGCACGGACCCCCGGGACCCCCAGGGCACAGGGAGGGACCCCCAGGAGATGAGGAGGGACCCTCAGGAACCCCCAGGTTAGGGGGAAGGATGCCCAGGACCCCTCAGGACATGGAGAGGAACCCCAGGACCCCCTGAGATATGGGGTGGGGCACAGGCAGGGACCCCCAGGAGATGAGGAGGGACCCTCAGGAACCCCCAGGTTAGGGGGAAGGATGCCCAGGACCCCTCAGGACATGGAGAGGAACCCCAGGACCCCCTGAGATATGGGGTGAGGGACCCCTGGGACATGGAAAGGGACCCCAGGGACCCCCAGGACACAGACAGGGACCCCCAGAACCCCCTGAGATATGGGGTGAGGGACCCCCAGGGACCCTAAGGACATGGGGAAGGACCCCCAGGACATGGGAAGGGACCCCAGGGACCCCCAGGATATGGGGAGAGACCCCCAGGACCCTCTGAGATATGGGGTGAGGGACCCCTGGGACATGGAAAGGGACCCCAGGGACCCCCAGGACACAGACAGGGACCCCCAGAACCCTCTGAGATATGGGGTGAGGGACCCCCAGGCCATGGGGAGGGACCCTCAGAAACCCCCAGGCCAAGGGGAGGGACCCCCAGGGACCCCCAGGGACCCCGGCACCCACTGGTGTTGATGAGGAACTGGTTGGACACCCCGGGGTGGTCGACGTCATGGATGGCGGCGGCGAAGAGAGCGGCCAGGACCTCCAGGTCGGTGAAGACGTCCTGGGGTGGGGAGGGGGCACCCTCAGACCCCCCCCAAAACCCAGAGGGACCCCCTTCAGAGCCCCCCAAACCCAGAGGGACCCCTCACCCTTTTACAGACCCCCCCCATTTATGGATCCCACCCCCTGTTTACGGATTTCATGTCCCGTTTATGGACCCCTCACCTATTTACAGACCCCACCCCCCATTTCCAGACCCCATCCCATTTCCAGCCCCCCCCCATTTCCAGCCCCCCCCTTTCAGGACCCCAGCGGGGGCGGGCGGGGGTCTCACCTCGAGGGCGGGGGTGGCCAGCAGCACGTGCGTGGACTGCAGCACGTCGGCGGCGTGCAGGCTGTTGTGGTACGCCACGTCGGGGTGGTAGTGCAGCTCCAGCGCCCGCGCGTAGCCCAGCAGCGCCCGCGCGGGGATGGCGAAGGTGCGCGCCAGCTCCCGCTCCTGGCACCCAAACATGGGCAAAATGGGCCCAAATACACCCAAACTGTACCCAAAATGTACCCAGGTACAGCCAGAATGGACCCAAAATGTACCCAGGTACAGCCAGAATGGACCCAAAATGTACCCAGGTGCAGCCAAACCCAGCCCAGCAGCGCCCGCGCGGGGATGGCGAAGGTGTGCGCCAGCTCCCGCTCCTGGCACCAAAACCACCCGAAATGGACCCAAAATGGACCCAAAATGGACCCAAAATGTACCCAGGAACACCCAGAATGGACCCAGGTACAGCCAAACCCAGCCCAGCAGCGCCCGCGCGGGGATGGCGAAGGCGCGCGCCACTCCCGGGGCAGTTTTGGGGTCAGTTGTTGGGGTCAGGGCGGTTTTTGGGGTCAGTTTTGGGGGTTTCGGGGTGTTTTTGGGGTCAGTTTTGGAAGTCAGGGCGGTTTTGGGGTCAGGGCGGTTTCGGGGTCACCTGGAGGATGGTGAACATGACGCAGTTTCAGGGTCAGGGGCAGTTTCGGGGTCAGGGGCAGTTTCGGGCTCGGGGCAGTTTTGGGGTCAGTTTTGGGGTCCCGGGAGGTTTTGGGGTCACCTGGAAGATGGTGAACATGACGCAGCTCAGCGAGCGGCCGTTGGAGAACTCGGACACGCGGAAAATGTTCAGCCCCCACTGAGCCCAGCAGCGCCCGCGCGGGGATGGCGAAGGTGCGCGCCAGCTCCCGCTCCTGGCACCCAAACATGGGCAAAATGGGCCCAAATACACCGAAACTGTACCCAAAATGTACCCAGGTACAGCCAGAATGGACCCAAAATGTACCCAGGTACAGCCAAACCCAGCCCAGCAGCGCCCGCGCGGGGATGGCGAAGGCGCGCGCCACTCCCGGGGCAGTTTTGGGGTCAGTTGTTGGGGTCAGGGCGGTTTTTGGGGTCAGTTTTGGGGGTTTCGGGGTGTTTTTGGGGTCAGTTTTGGAAGTCAGGGCGGTTTTGGGGTCAGGGCGGTTTCGGGGTCACCTGGAGGATGGTGAACATGACGCAGTTTCAGGGTCAGGGGCAGTTTCGGGGTCAGGGGCAGTTTCGGGCTCGTTTTGGGGTCAGTTTTGGGGCAGTTTTCTCTCAGTTTCGGGGCAGTTTTGGGGTCAGTTTTGGGGTCACTTTTGGGGTCACTTTGGGGCTCGGGTCACCTGGAAGATGGTGAACATGACGCAGTTTTGGGGTCAGGGGCAGTTTGGGGTCAGTTTTGGGGTCCCGGGAGGTTTTGGGGTCACCTGGAAGATGGTGAACATGACGCAGCTCAGCGAGCGGCCGTTGGAGAACTCGGACACGCGGAAAATGTTCAGCCCCCACTGGCTGAGGCTCTGCAGCTCCTGGGGGGCACGGCTCCCCTGAGACCCCCAAACCGCCCTGAGACCCCCCCTCGGCTCCCCTGAGACCCCCAAACCGCCCTGAGACCCCCCCTCGGCTC